GATTATTTTTTTCAGATACCAAAAGTCATTGGAAACATCCAAGGAATGATAATTGTGGATGTATATTATACAACAACAACACACGTTTAGACGGCATTTTCCCCGAGATCGGGGGTTGTGGATGAATATTATACAAATATATATATGTATCTGTGTGTGTGTGTGCGTGTGTGTGTGTGTGCGTGCTTGTGTGTGTATAAATATATAAACAATGACGTTAGTTTAGCTTGCTTTCAGTTAGTTAATACATGAACAAATGTAGCAGTTATAATAATAATTGTTATAACAATTATACTTGCTATGATAATTATAATTATATTAATTGTTAGTGTTATTATAATTGTTATTAGTTATTATTATTATTCTTATCGTTCATCATTTAACTGCACGGAAAGTTGGGTAGAGTTCTTTTTTTTCTTGTTTCTCATTTGATTATTTTGGCATGCTGTACATTTTTCTCAATGATTTATCGTTATTGAGTTTTTTTATATTTTGGTTTGAAAATAAAGTAAAATAATATATAAGTAAATAAATATTTAAATGAATTAATGAGTGAATTAATGAGTGAATTGATGAATAAATAAAATCGTCATTTATATTTTCTTACATTTTAATTACTAAACACAGACACAGATGTTTGCAGACATACATTCAGGTATGTAGATAGACATATTGCAGACATCGACTGAGTTGTCTAGACATACGGACAGACGTGCAAATACATACAGACAGACGTGTAGACAGACTGATAGACAACAGTGTCCAATCCGTGTGAATGCACTGGCGATCAGGATAGGAAGAACTAGGATTGTCTCGTGCCAGACTCGCATAGACGAGTGTATTATTTTTTTTCTTTCGAAAATTGAAATTGTCGTTTAACGTGTTAGGGATGGATAGATGGATGGATGAATGAAAGAATGAATGGAAGGATGAATGAATAAATATATGAATAAAAGAAAGACTAAATGGATGAATGTCTGGATAAATGAACGAACGAATAAACCAATAAACGAATATTTATTTCAAAATGGAAGTGCACATCAAAAATAGTAGAAAAAAAAGCATATTTGACAGCTGAAAAATCGAACTACAATAGAAAGAAAAAACATTGTAACTGTTGTCATTGTTATTATTAATATTATTGTTAGATTTATGTTTTAATGGTTCTTAGGAGAAAGATTTTGGATAAGCAGCCCCGAACAAATCAGAATCGAGCCAACAATTGCACGTAAAAACTTTACTGACACCCGTCGAATATCTGGTTACACTCACCTTTATTGGTTGTATGATTGGTTGGTTGATTGATTGATTGGTTAATTGATTGATTGGTTGATTAATTGGTTGATTGATAGATTGGTTGGTTGGCTGGCTTGTCGGTTTGTTGATTGATAGGTTGGTTAGTAATAATAATAATAATAATTAATAATAACAAAAATAAAAAAAATAATATCGCTAACGCTTTTTAGTTGCCATGTATTTGAACAGAACAGCCCACCATGATAGATTCTGTAATAGTAATTATTATTACTTTTAGATTGTAATAACAATTATAATGAATATTTATAATATCAACAACAACGATAATAATTATAATAATAATAATAGCAACGCAACAACAGAATTAATAACAACATTGCCAAAACAAAAGCATTAATAATAAAAATGATAACAACGATCTTACTAACTTTATAAAATCAGGAAAATTGTTATAGTAATAAGAGGTCACATCAAAAACATCGGTCTGACCTCTCCCAAACAAACCCGCCTGACCTTGACCTTCAACATTTTGATTCAGCGAAAAAAAAAATATAGGGTATAAATCAGGTAACGTAGACATAGAAATTTTGACGTCACAGTCTGTGGCCGCGTCCACATCGTCCCCTGTGGTCAGCGACACGATGTAGTGGTAGGCTGGTTAGGAATGTTTGTGTGGTTTTAAAGAAGTTTTTGGTGAGGATAATGATGATGGTACTACCGCTACTGCTGCTACTGCTGCTGCTACTACTGTTGCTGCTACTACTACAACTACTACTAATGCTACTGCTGCTACTACTGCTGCTGCTGCTACTACTACTAAAATTAATAATAATAATAATAGTAATAAAAATGATAATAATAATAATAATGCTCTTAAAAAACTTAACGAGTTAGTGAGCCAGACATTGGAGCTTGGTCGACCAACTTTATAACTTTATTCAACCTCTGTGTGTTTGTGTTTGTATTTGTGTGCATGAACGTGTGTATTACATGTATGTATGTATGTATGTGTTTTTCTGAACGTAAAATATGTGTTTGTATGTGTGTGTATGTATGTGTGTATGTATGTGTGTAGGACTAACCTGATAAAAAAAACATCCGGATAATCTCGAATAATACAATCCGCCGAAACCAAGAAGATCCGAACTGAAAACCAACTTGCACATCCCTAAATTTACCCCGGCCTGACTCTTAACATAATTATACCCCACGCACGTCACATCCCTGGAGCACATCGCCGAACACCTAATCAAATTCAGGAGGTCCAATCCGGCGTCGGTGCCTACGATATTACCAAATACATTCATAACGCAGATCGAATCGGAATTATTGTTCTTTGTGATCTTTTTAAACTTACCGCTTTGGATGCTTGGGGATGGTGACGTAATAATGGATACCAAGATGGCGGACATTATGACGAAAATGGCGGGGAAAATTCTAAATGAATTTTTCGCCATTTTTAAAAAAAAACGAACAAAATCGACCGCACCTAGAGCAAAAATTAAGTTAGTATAAAACGGTTTATATAGATAGAGTAACTTCTCGTAGACGTGTGAGAAGAATTCTCGAAATTGACGAAAGAATCCATCATTTTCAGTATTACTATAATTATAAATATTATTATGAATATTATTATGATTATTATGTTTTATTATTATTTATATTATTAAAACTGAATTCTCGCTTGATAATAATAGTAATTGATGAAGCGGGGACGAAAAAATTGCAACATTGTTCATCCGACAAGATTTTTCTTGAGGACATAAGAACGGCGAAGAAATTAATTATAGTGCTACAAGATGCAATTAAACAGACGGAGACGAACATACACACACACACACACACACACACACATACCAACAAACACACGCACACACATACCTACATAAATACATTCACTCACATACATTCACTCATTCACACACACACACACACATACAAAATTACAAAAACAAACCATTTTAGTGCCTTGAGATACAATCGATCTTACACAAACACACGTAAATATACACATACAAACAAACATATACACAAACAAACACATACACACACACACACACACACATACCCATTGACATATAAACACACAAACATATAATTAAATGGTAATCATATCTTTTACAATAGATTCAACCTGGATCAATAACTTGATATATGACATTAGCATTTTATTTTTAAACAAAACACTCCAATATACATGTGTGTGTGTGTGTGTTTGTCTGTGTGTGTGTGTGTATGTTTGTATGTATATTATAACAACAACATCAAAACCGATATAACACTAATCGTAATAAAATAAGTACAACGATGACAATAATAATAATTATTATTATTATTATTATTAATTTATTATTATTATTATTCTTAACACTAATAGCAGTAAACAACAGA